CTCATTGAGTCTGTAATAATGACATGTATTTTCATCGAATTGGCCATATACACATTGTTGATTCGAATTTGCTTCTTCAAATTTATATCCAGTTCCGGTAAATTTAATAAATGGCTAAGAGCTATCGTAACTCTATATAGCTCAAGTAATGGACACCAACTCGAAGAAACTTGCCTTTTTATGTAATAAGAGACACATTCAGCCTACAATAATGGCGTCGCTTTCTTAGTCTTACTTTGACAGTACACAGAAACATTATTGTTTCGTTCATCCTGATGTGTATTTCTTGTGACATTTTCCTTATTCTTAATTATCCAGTTGTTTTCTTTTGTTAAATACTATACTAGTACTTTGAATCACGAACTAAGCTTAACCAAACTAATATTGAAGATGGGGAAGCTCTGGAAATCGTTACGTTCCAGAATGAGTCATCAAAAGTGCTTATTCACAAACTCTCAACAAGAGATCAAACCCAAGACCTTGAATTACTTTGCGAACCTGTAATTTTTAGACCACTCAGCTGGCATCTAGTAGTGTACATATTTTGTTCAGTTCTGGTCGGCGTTTCCTTGTTCTCAATGATGGTCCAGTTGAATTCTCTTTTATACTGACTTTTTTTAAAGGATTTTAATTTGTTGACTAGAACTTTTCGCCATGAGGTATATTACTTCTTTACCACTTCTTGTATGACCCTTTACATTTACAAATGGAGCATATTGTAATCAGTTCTTTAGAATTTAAGACTCAATACAACGTAAAGTCTATGACTTTGAATTTAGAAGGCTGATTTATTAAACAGGAAGATTTATAGAAACATTTTAATATTTTACCTAATGTGATAATATAATAATGAAGCTTTAACTGTGCAGCGTAAAATGGTTATTGAAAATAATAATTTGTATTAAATATGTTTAAGTTGATTTTGTTAACAAATTCCTAAGTGATTGATTTCCTTATACTGTACATGTACCATCTCTTTGTGCTGATAACAGATTTAGGAAAGTTTATTGATTTGCTTTAAATACAATTGAAGCCATTACAAAGTTTTTCTTTTACTGAAAAATGAATATAAAACATTTGATTAAATGAATTCAATTACATTTTCGAATTCATTGTTAATTATAGTTGAAGGGTTAATTATTAAATGTTATGTGCATTATTGTTATACCGGTAATTACTTGTCTAGTGTTTCAAATTGTGTCTTAACTCAGTTGGATATTTAATTTTTTTAAGTGGATTATTTCTAAAATGAAATATACTTATTTAAAACTATTCAAAGAACCTTTCAAATCGAGAAAAACTCGATCACCATGGTGCCAGTTCAGTAAACGAAACTCAAGAAATATTAATTCGATAGAATCTTATCATATATAATAAGGAATATTTAGTATAAAAATTTTGCTTACGCTAATTAAAATGTTTTTTCCCCGCTTATCAGATCTGATGGGTTTCTTAACCTATATATGTAAATATATTATTTCTTGTCACGGAAACCACTGCAATTAATCAAGTGGTTTTGACCTATTGAATCACATACTCTGGTTTATCTATACATAAATTCAAACTTTTATTGTAGTAAAAAAATATTAATCTGTTTGACCTTTACATGATAAAGATTATATAATAATTTTCAGGAATATTCCCTCTAATTTTTCATTGCATGATTTCAAGAAGAAAGCCTATTTGAAATAATATATTCTTATAAAGCTAGTAAGTATGTAAGGAAATAATTTCCTGACTGTAACAAACAAATTTCTGATTTAACCGTGAGAATCATTCTGTGATGTGAGCAGGCTTTAATCCTGATTAGTATTGCATAGTTTGTTTCTACCTGTAATATATCAAATTGTTGTGGGATTTAAATTATGCAAATCAACTAAAGTCTGTTTACTTCAGTAAATACAGGTTACACGTTTATACTACGAGGAATCCAAAAATGCTTTACTCGTATAGATAGAAGCATTTCCGAATTAATTGGTTGCGAAATTTTTCATATCCTTCGCCTATGTTTAACAAGGCAAACCTGAGTAATACTAACTCAGTTTACCAGTTACAGGTAGCAACTGTTGACAGAGTCTTCATAAAAACTGCAACGAATGCGGTTGATAATGTACGGATATTTTAATAAGGTAGCAAATGTCTTGATACAAAGTCTGTGTATTCATAAATAACAATCCTCTGATTTGCATATTTCAAAAGGTTCGGGTATTATACTGACTATGTTTTGATGACATATATCATGAATATCACAGATAGACTAGTATAGCGCTTATTACGAAACAAGTTTTGTCTAACATGAAATCATAAAATTATCACTTTCAAGACAAACTTTCAGCAGCCTCTCAAAACTACTTTATTTCTTAATTGATTGTTTTGGTAAAATCCATTTGATAATAGAAACAATCTCCAAAATGTTATATACATCTTTCCCCAATACAAACAGTTAAGAAAATAATAATAACCCCTAATCTTTAAATTAGTCTCAATACAAAATTTATTTTTAATGGTTAAGATCATGAGTCAATTGAAGCTAGACCACCATTCAAAATCTGGAACCACTGGACGGCCATTTCATCATATAGTAGTACTCCTCAGCAGTGTGCATCCATTATCCCGCCTAATGAGATTCGAACTGAGGACCTATGGGTCTCATGAGCGAACACACTTCTGGGGAGTCTCATAATTGGTCGAAACGACCGTCCTATGCTTTTAAGTTTTCCATGATGATCTAGTTTCAATTGATTCATGATCTCAACCATTGAAAAACCTCCTAATATAAAATTTAATGTTGATAGATATTACATGTTTTCTTTATTGTGTTAAATAAGTTTTCGTTTTCAAACTTTTCAAATGTAAAACTTATCTTATTAAATTCAAAGATCATGATTCTTGTTCTCATTTAATCTTTTATATAAATTCATATATATATTTCTATATTAAAGCATTAATTATACTAAACCATATTTGTTGTTAAGATTGAAATCATTACATTTACATGGATGATTTGTTGTGAGTATTTCGTATTCTTCCACTACTTTTTTTCTAGTTTTATAACATTGAATTTGATTTAGTTTTCGATTTGATGATTATTTTATTTTCTGCTATTCTCAACGTCAACAACAACATCATCATCATCAGTACGCTTAATAGAATTTCATTAAGAAGTTTTTTTTTCATTCTCTCTCTTTGGAACAGTTCATTGAAGTACACTTGAAGTTTCAAATGACTGTTAACTTAGACATTTAAAAAAATAATAATAAATAAATAAATTATAAAAGCATATAAGAGCAAAAGACAAAACAAAAAGAAAAAGAATAAGAAGACAAGACAGAGAAATAATTTAAAATGCATTTTATTTATTCTTTTTTTGGGGAAAAAAGTTAAGTAAATTGAACTTTGCCTAATGATCAAATAAACGTTTATATTTAGTTATACCATAATCGAGTTAATGTATATGGTGTAGATAAGTATTTACAGTAAGATAATGTGAATTATTCAAGTGGTCATCTATTCATAAAGTTGGTTTAGAAGCAGACATAACAATTTAAACGATGTACTAACAAAATATTGTATAAAATGGAATAGAAGAAGGTAGAAAAAACCATTTTGCAGATATTTTTATGTAACTTTTAATGTCTATGAAGAACAAAAAAAGAAAATCAGTTTGTAGCCAGTAAAAAATAATATCAAAGATTAGTTTATTAAAAAAGTGGAGATAGTAGACTAACATTAAGTTTAAATATACTTTCCCTCTAAGTCCCATGCAACTTGAAGAACTCATGGATTATTGTAACCGTGCTAAATAATTTTCAATTATCTTAAAAACGCTCCACAGTGCACTTTAGTCTGTACTCAAAGTTTACACTTTTGAAAGTAGCCATCTGGATGCAAAAGATGGGTTTCTTATGGCTTATGTGCATCCTGATAATCTTTCCTCCATATTGTATATATATGCAGCCTATTACATAGTTAAGGATAATCGTTCGTTTCTGTCACTCAGAGGTCATTCTAAAGAGGTGTAAACAGAATATTCAATCATTTCTCATGGTTTAATATGAAAATAATACTCTCTAGGATCTAATGACTTTGTTGACATATATATATATATATATATATATATATATATGTCGTACTCATGATCCAAACACTGATTCACAATTCTAAACATCTATCTTGTTATTTTAGACATTTTATGATCATGAATTCATAAACCCTTTCTGATATAAGGTTTTCGAAGAAAGATTTTTTAATATTACTTGGATTTACATCAACTCTACATAATTTTGATGGTAAGAAATTATATGCTCATATCACATCATTTCAATCTTATTAGTTAAGTTACAGTCCTAACTCATTTCAAAACGTACAAGGCTACATATATGTGAAGCCTTTATAACTTTCTTGGATTGAGAAAGGTCGAAAGAACCATCACATTGTCTCCGGCACATCACATAAACCTCGGTTAATCAGAAAAAAGTCAATATTTTTGTATTAATTAACAAACTGAATATTTTTGGTCCGAAAATACTTTTCTTGTAAACACATGAATTTTTATACCGGGAGGGGTTTTATAGATATTATGGTAATTTTAACAGTTGAGATCATGAATGAATAGAACGAAGCGGCCGTCCAGTGCTTCCAGATTTTTCATGGTGATCTACCTTCAATTAATTCATGACCTCAACTATTAAAATCACATAAATTTCAGTTTATTATAAGCTTAGGTATAATATTTCATTCTTAAAAACTTGTATTAAGATCAAAGATAATCTATCTATCTATCAGTGGCATATGATCTTATTTTGCACTGATCAAATGATAATATTTATAATATTTGTATAACTATTTATCCATACAAAATCTCGTCTTATGAGATAGTGCCATGGAAACAAGCATCATATTGTTTATCAATTTATTTGTTTTCTTACTTTTGAAAACAATAAAACTTATTTTAAGATCATTTCACTTGATTTTTTTATTTCTTCAATAAATCAAAATAGCTTTAGCTGGAAAACATGAATGTAATCAAAATACATGTTACTCTGTATTATCAGGTTAGTTTGTGTTGTTTTTTTTCTCCAGGGTTTGTGTTTGATACAAATGCACTATTATTCAATAACCATATATGCACCATATTGCTTTGATTATACAGCACATCATACGACTATCCTAATAATGATAGTTTTTTTTCTCACTTAATTATCATTTACACTATCATCATGACTGATAGCACGTAATGTATATTTTCAAACCATTGGTTTTTAGTATATTCGCCTTGTCAATTTGTGTGCATTTTACATCTCTTTTCAACTAATCATATCTTTTGTTCTTTAGTATAAAATTTACATAAATCTTGTGATGAACAAGGTTATGTTTTTTAGTTCATAGTTCTGATAAAATTATATCAGTTATCAATATTGTTAACGCTTTTCATTCGAACAGTGGATAACATTGTTATACATAACAAACACATTCGAATTACTCTAAAATGTAGATCTTGGGTATCATACTATGATTCTACATCGCATAGGGAAAATATTCTATTATTAAAACTTACGTAGACTTTATTTAGAGTATATGTGACCTTAGTTTTTCTATTAGTATATCCAAAATGAACTGACAAAAGAAAAAGAAGCATCTTTATTACTAATGCACACGCGTCATTTGGATAGACTGAAAATGACGTAGAGCAGCTGTTAAAATTTTCTTTGAAAACAATTCACAATCAATTGAGTATGAGTACACTTTAGCAGAGATAACAAAGAAGTATGTGTATAAAATTGGTTTGCATTGAGTAGACGGAAAATGAATAATAGTAGAATACGTGATATACATTTTGCGCCTTTTGGGACTTGTCATTTGAATACACTTACATTCTCATGTTAATTTTCTCACCGAGACTCAAACCTAATGTCTTTCTCTACAAACGCCCAACGCGCTGTTGAGTGAGCTACTGAGTTTGGATAGTTACTAGTTTTCGCATTGTGAATGAATTTTAACTTGTAATAGCTTCGATTCTCCCGTTGCCAATATTTTTGACTAAAGTTTTGATTAGGTTTGTGTGATTATGCAGGGACATCCATTTTAGGAGTCCAAAATAAGATAAAACGTTCGTTCTAGGTCCCACTAGCAACCCCAGTTTAGCTGTTTAATAAAACTCGTCATAATATCGGTATATATCGAGCAAATCCCTGCAGGATACACATATATCAATAAAGATTACTCAATATTCAATCATGATTATCAACAACAGGGAATAACGCCGGATACAATTAAAAACCTTCAAGACGACATATTTGAGTTTAAAATTTTCAAAAGCACAAAGATATTTTAAAACGTTACTTTCGAGTAAGGATATAAAATAAGATATTGTATAACTAAATAGAGATGGAGGCATAAATGAAAACAGTATTTATTTCAATAAACTACTTATATTCGAATTTTTGTTTTTGATAATGATAACTACAGAAAACAATAATGCATCGGAACACTTAAATGAAGTTAGATGTTGACTTATTCACTTTGTAGTAAGTCATATAGTAAGTTACTATTAAAAAATATATTACAGTCGGCTTTTTTGATCTATCTAAGTTCACGATCTTCTACTCATCATTGAATAAATCATATTCATTATATTAAGTGAAATATAGCTGAATTTAATGTTTAGGCGTTTTTTTCTTTTCATAAGGATGTTTCTGTTTTCTCGTTATGACATCCATTTTTACAGTGATTACTTCGTTATTTGTCAAACGAAGATGGTTCATCTACACTAGGTTTATATATGTATATTCTAAATAAATAAGCGTAATAACAAGAACAAGAAGATAAAAAAAACAAACACTGTAATAGAACTTGAGGTAAATAAATTAGATCATAAGTATGTTGAAAATAACAGTCAATTACTATGATAAATTAAATAATAATATACTTCTATCTACCTACCTATATATCCATCTAACTGTTTCACATATAAAAACATATTTAAAGCGAATTCTTCGTTTCGAATTATTATTATTATTATTGTTATGATTATTTTTATTACCGTTTACAATTTATTTACTTCTCTATCTCTCTCTCACCACTTATCTTGTATATTCTTCCAGTTCACTGGCTGATTGGTTACTTACAAAGCATTGTACTGGTTATCAAGGGTTTTCATTAACTTATATTCAAATAAAAAAAACTAAAATAATGGTTTGGTACATAATTTCAAGCACTTTGTAAACACTGTTATTTTTTAGAAATTGGTATGAGTCAGAAAACTTGGAAGCATTGGACAGACATTTCAATATTATCCAATATTTACTTGAAGTATTCAAACAGCGTAAAATTTGCAATCATTTTACCTTGAAACAAATAATATATCATCTATTAATCTAGTCAGTATCCAAACATTTATGCTCATATGGACAAGTAGATTTCGTAGTTCAGCGGCAAGTCACCTGTTGGACACGAAGATTGACGATGATCTAACTAACGAGTTAAAAGTAAATGATAAACAGCCAGTTTTATTTTATTGGGCTGCACGAAAAACACAGCAGTTAGAATGCTTGAATTTGACCCTAATATTCATAGCGAGTCATTATTTAAGCGTCGACTGCCTTAGCAATCTAAATGACAAACACTTTGATTTTTCTTTTCAGTTAGTTGAAGTCACGATCTAGTCCTATACTACAATGAAGTAGTTGTTCAGTGTTTTCTTGTTTTCAGTGGTGATCTAGCTAAGATCAGTTCATGATATGAACTATTAATTAAAAAATTAGTATTTTACAAATGCATATATACTTCCTAAATATTTGCTGAGCAGTGAACTCAACCCTTTAAATCATTTAACATAGGAATAACTAGTCATTTTTTTGTGTGTATAAAGTATGTTATGAATTTGCATCGTACAATAATTTCACTGATAAACTTGCTAAACTTCCTATCATCCTATTGTTTAAGTCACAAGAATCTCATTACTATTGATATTATTTAGTAGAGTTTCAGCACATTAATTTGAATGTTTCAACAGTGTAGTCCACCTTAGACGATGACATTAAACAAAATGTCTGTTTAAATGCTTACTATATAACGAACAGAAACTGACTAGATAAATGTTGTAAACTTGTTTTGTATTAGTTCGTGACTATTGTTTTACAACTTAAGTAAGTTAGTTCAATTCACACAAAATATTGACAAAACTATCTATCTCAAAGAACAGTTATTTACGTTGAATACCATTAGATTATTAATCGTAGTTGGATAGTAAAAGTGATGAATAAGTTTCCGATAAATTGTATATTTACTGTATGCTTTCTTACAATATTATTGGATTTTAAATTATATATATCTTTGTGATTGTTCAGCTTTTAAAATGAATTCGTCGTAAAGAGAATTTTTCACTGAACTAATCTTCCCTATTTAATGTCTCAATGGATATATTCCGTATACGGATACAAATTTAAGCAAATATCTAGTCATCTGAATTTTCTTCCCAGTACTTTATTTTTTTTCCTGTGTGAATGATTTAACTATGGGAATTTTAAATTAAAACCATAAAAGAAAATACCACATTTTTGTTGTTATTGTTGTTGTTGTTGGTGGTGATGGTGTTAATCATTTTTCAAGTTCAATATAAAAATTATACAGTTCCACTTGAACTTGAATATAATTCTCATTTCAATGAATTACCTCTTGTCATTGACATTGTTTTCTAACTTCTCTTTTGTAAAAATAAAACAAAAAATAAAACTGATCATTTGACTGTAATTTGTGTTTAGGAAAAAAAGAAAAGAAAGGAAAGGAAAGTGAACTCCAGTTCCTTCCTTTTTTTAAAAAAAGAAGATACATCTAAGATTAAATTGATACTTGAAAGAATTAAGAAGTCGATGAAAATATTTCAACTTTAATGATTATAGTTTATTATTCATTAATGGATATTTTGAAAAACAAAACAGTGTCACTTATATAAATTTTAAATAAGATTATTTAATTATATCATTACATTGAATTATTTCAGTGTACGATCATTATGATAGAGTGAATCAGATTAGTTTAATTGAAAATATGATTAAGAAAGTTTAAAAGTATTTAAATCATTATAAATCAAATATTTTTTATACATAATGACTACTATTTACTAGGCGTATAATTTTTTGTCAACCTGTTTGTTCAATTATTGGCAAATAATCGTATTAACTTGGCATAAAAGTCTAAGTGTATAATGTTTCCGTGATCAACTGGCTTTAAAAAACATAATTCTAATAAAGAAAAATGTTTTTTTGAAAAAAAATTCCGTCGACTATGTTTATCACTATGGTCACACCATTACTTATTATTACATGAAATAATTCACTTTAGATTATAATCTTATATTTTGTGTCTGGAAGATATGAACTGAATTTCTTTGTTTCGAATTCTAGTCAAGTTAGATAGAATCATTACTAAACATCTCTGAACAGTATGTACTTATTTCATTTCTTTAGGATTATTCTATACAGTATGTTGAACTTAACCAGAATATTATGGAAAACAGCCATATAAAAAAAGGGAATGCAGATTTCTTTATTTTAAAAAATAGGCTTTCAAATACGGTATATTATCCAAGATTATCTATTAGACATACAAAATTGATTATAGAAATTAATATCACTACTGGCTGTAAGTAGTATCATCGCTTTTAATTTTAATATCATTCATAATTATAATTTAACTCCCCCTGTAGCTCTTCTAGGACTATTACCGGTCCCATACCAAAAGTACGAAAGAACAAGAAAATGAAAAAAATAACAACTTATTTGAAAGAGTGGAGCCTATCAAGGATCAGCTATAACGTATTTCTATGCTGAAAGGGGTTGCATAAGCTCCTTTTAGGTACAAGAATAAGTTTATGGATATGAATTGGGATGATTTCTATGATATGAAAAAGATAAATCAATAAATTACAAGACAAATTTAGTGGAACATAGTGGGTTATTTTAAAAGCTTTGATCAAGTCAGTTTGATGTTTTGTGTCAACTAATTGATGAGGAATAGAATCCTTGATCATTCTGAACTACCCTTCGCTCGACAA